TAATGAATTTATGACTCTCCTCCAGTTCCTCCGAAGCTGAGCGCGAACCAAGAATGCAGCAAACATTCCCCTTCTGAATGGCTACGCTGAAACATGAAACCTGCCGCTCTTGGGTCCCTAGTGGTATCAACGAACCTGGAACCCAGTTTTTGAGAAAGCGTATGGCACTCTTTCCCCATGATCCCAGGTCTCCGATCCCACCGGGACAAAATAGTACTGATGCCTTATCCAGATCTAATTTTTTTCCTGGCTTTACAGGAAATGTGTCAATATGGAACGTACAAGCTACTGAAAAAAATATCAAGGGTTCTGCATGACTTTTTTGAAAGATTCTTCCTAGCATTTGTTATAGCAACACTAGTGGGCTCCTCGAACTTGAGATTTTCCTACATGAATACCCTCAGTGTCACTTATAATCCTATTCTGCTCTTGCGAATAGTTTTATTTCATTTTATACGTGTTCTTGTGTTTATTTCTCAATGTTAATAAGAGTAACAGAAAACCTTTCTCCCTATTTTTACATATAATTGCTTTATGTGGGCCACTGCAAGATTTGGTTTACACTAATTTAGAAGCTTATTTTTAAAATTATTTAGATGATTTTTTTCAAATACATTATATTAAGCGTGAGTTTATTAGTTGTTATTCAATCCTGGCACAGGGTCGGGCCGCGGAAATGAGGAAGACTAGAGAAGCCCTCAGAGGTATACAAAGCCAAATGTATACAGGTATATACTTATTGTAAACTCATCCTTTATTACGTTGTTGAAAGCAGTGAGGGTTGGGGTGTGATAAGACATAAGTGGTACCACTAGCAACGAGTATTGCTGTACGGTGCTGTTATTTGAGACAACACTGATACAGAGGCCGGTAACACTAGTCCCTTCAGAAACAACTCCAGTGCTAACAACCCACCCTAACACCAGTAAAGGAAAATCCTCCCCTCCCCCACCAGTGTTGCGGCTATGTTGGTAAAGCCATTGTTATAGTTCCCTAAGTCCAATTGATATCAACTCGAGGTACGTGAAACTCTCTGAACTTAAATATAGGTTCACACACACACCATTTATGGCTTACGAAACTGCGTTCTGAATATCAAGAAGAATGCGCCACACTTTCACTGCCCGCACCAATTCAAACACTATTAATGGAAGATGCCCTTGAATCCCTTAGATGCTCCGCTTGTAGCGCAGACAAGAGAAATGAGAAGTAAAAAAATATAGAAAAGAGCGAGTGAGGATATAGAACAGTACTAGTTTGGCAACTGCAGACAGCCTGAACAAACTGCAAGTAGCGTCGCTGAAGCTAATACCTAGGGGTAATTTTTAAAATAGGTTTGACACAAATACATGGATGAGAATGGTTGCTTGGTGTAAGACTGCCTAGCGTGGGCCAGTAGGTCTACTGTGCAGCGCTACTTCTTTACTTCTTACTAGATCATAAATTAGAAAGCCGTGCTCGGGGAAGGCGGGGGGAGCAATAATCCCCGAACCATCAAGTAGCAATAAGGGTATACAATACCGACAAGCAGATAGCAAGGACATGCAACTGGAAGGTATCTTCTGCACAAGTGTGTCAACAGTTCTACTTAAACTCTAGACCGGATGAAATAATGTATTACGACAGTATGAAGACAAAAAGTTGCGAACACATTTACCAAGAACCGACGTTTCTCTATGTTTCAACGAGTTTTTTTAACTACAGACTACAGCACAAGTAAAAGATTGTATTCATGTACAAGCCCTAAGGTGCCGGCATCAAGGAACGACGGGCTAAAGATATGCTCTCGCTGCGGCATCAAGGTAAAGGTACACACACACACACACAACACCACACCACCACACACACACACCTACACACACAAACTCCACACACACACACACACACACACCACAGAAAGAAACTAAACCACAGTCAGAGATTTCCCAAAAACGAATAGTAAACAATAGTTGCTAGCCAACGACAAGAGATTCCAAAACCACACCAAGGAAAATGGCAACATGCAGGTACAGTACGATATATCTAGGAATATAAACAGGAATGTGTTCGGTAAACGCAAACTGTCAGGTCCAAAGCATAATTGCTCAGCAAACAGAGGTAGACAAACAGCACAGCTTATCACGAGGGGGCGCCAGATGAACATTCCACAAGTTGCCTCAATACATGGGCAGCAAGGCCTGCCACACTTCAGTGGCCAGGTCGCTCGCCCCCGGCCAGGTACGCAACACTCTGGAACAGCCTGGCCATATAACGGCACATCCACCCCACCCACAACCCTTCTCCTAGACTCCCCCCCCCACGCGCCCGCCCCACCAATCCAACCCACCGCCTACACGAGTTCATAGAGCATAGGTGCCCTTTGCATATTACTTAATTGCTACTATATATTTTATTAAAGTAATTATTGACAGTATCCACATTATTATTTAGGTAATTAGATCGTTGACTGTGAACGTCAATTATTATTTCAGTAATTAGACATGAACTTAAGTAAAATTGTATAACCCTACAACGTACGAAGAGTTGTACCATAACGATGAGGAACGCAAGTGCCGCACTTCATGAATACTAGTAGGCTCGAGCAATCGTCACTTTCTAGAAGACTTTATTGGGAGTATAAAAACCCGGAGAATTATAACCAGGACAATCCAACAGAGAGGACAAGCTGTTGACTTATTTCCGTTTTTTTTTGTTCGGAGCTCTGGGTACTGCACCCTAGGATGTGACCTAGATGTCTAAATTTCTAAGTATAATTTGTGTTGGGTGAGTGGAGCTGCAGGAACCTTAAGGAAGACTTGCCATACCTCTCGCCTGCCTGAGGACTGAAGCTAGATCTTAGTTGAACATGAAAAATGGTATAAAATACCGACAGGTTTGTTAGGTAAGACACTATGCAAACAGTTAGGTATCTTTATTATGAAACGTTTCGCCTACACAGTAGGCTTCTTCAGTCAAGTACAGAAAGTTGAAAGAAAGCAGGAAGATACTTGAAAGACGATGTTAACTCGTCCATCACCCTTCACGTTTTGAGGTGGTCAGTCCCTCAGTCTGGAGAAGGAGCATTGTTCCAATAGTATGGAACAATATTGTTTCATACTATGGAACAATGCTCTTCTCCAGACTGAGGGACTGACCACCTCAAAACTTTAAGGGTGATGGACTGATTACATCGTCTTCAAGTATCTTCTGCTTCTATCAACTTTTCTGTACTTGACTGAAGAAGCCTACTGTGTAGGCGAAACGTTTCATAATAAAGATACCTAACTGTTGCATATGTGTCTTACCTAACAGATCTTAAGTTGTAATTGTGAAACAGCGTTCTACTAAGTCCCCATTGAATAACCAAAACTAGCAAGAAAAAGGAGAACTAATGACTGTATAAGGAGACAAGACGTTGCATACAAAGTTCAAAGTAGGTTGGTATATAGCAATCATCCAGGAAGGAACGATGGTAACTTCTTGGATGGTCACACGTCCTGTCAAGCGAGCGTGAAACGGAAGCCTATTAAACGTTGTACAATAGCTGCGTCATTTTTTTTTCTATCTCAGGAACATGTAAAGATGACAAGTAAATGTTACATAATTATATTTACATTCAGTATACAATTAATTTTTTTCTGTTTCCTAGTAGTTTTTATTCCTGTAAAATATATTTTTCAATTTACGGGGCAACTGGAGGGGAAAGGGGCGATGATCTCCAGAACCTTTAATATGTATTCAACAACAACAAAGTATTATTGTCAGACAAGTACAATAATGGTAAAACAAGTACATATATGATAACCATATCGGGATAAATCCCTCCACCCAAACAGCCATTAATAAATATCTGCATTAAAAACAAATTTTACTTGCATAATATTAACACCCAACACTCAGAGGCCCTTCAAGGGAGGCACTATGATGCTGGTAAATTATATCGATCCACGGAACTGTAGTTACTTTTCTTCGGATAAAGCCTGATCGTACGTTTAAAAGTTTCATGTTATAATATATACAAGAGATGGTTCCATATATACATTTAGTTAGCAGTAACAACAGACTGGTTAACAAGGAAAGCACCAGACAAGCTTAGCCCAGGGCCGGGCTGCGAAGTAGGAAACCTCTCGAAGCCTATCAAAGGTGTAGCTTACATCGTGCACAGAATCCCATCAACAGAAAACAGCAGCAGTCTATCATACTACAAAAAGTTTTATGATTACATGCAGTACTGCAGCGACCAAGTCCAACACCTGTTGCGGCATCATATTACGAGAGTTTCGGCACATTATCCGGTGCAAGTTATCGTTTGGAATTATGTACATAAATGTTACTAGAAACGTGATAAATGCCAGTCACCACTTTATTGTGGATGAAGGCAGGTGTCAAACGGTATCAGAAAGCCATGGCACATCGTTGTCACTAATGATGTACTCTGTGTGTGTGTGTGTATATTATATATATATATATAAAGCTTCAGTATATCTAACCGTCGCTAATACGTATTTATGACTGTTCATCTGATAACCACAAACATGTTAGTGACTATCCCTAATGTTAAGAAGCTACCGCACGTTGCTAACACACGATACTTAACATCCATGTGATTAGTTACAATTACATGTATGTTAGTGACAATGAAGTTAGGACAATTGTACAACGGATTATCACTAACAATATAAGGAAATTACTGTATAACGAACCGATTGTCACTAACGATGATTCCACAGCACCAAGGAATCAACACACACAACACTTTCTTCAAAACTGACACAAATTTCCTAAAGGTAAGAGAAGGAAATAATACATTATCAGGGGGCATTGAAATCTCGGGAAAATTTTATTATGGGATGCTGGCTCTATCTTTTTAATTACTTATCAATTAGTAATTCATAATGAGAACTACTGTGATGAGGAACACTTGGTCTAACAGAAGAGTCATGACGAGCCAGGGCCGAGCGAGACAAAACCTGTGAAAGAAAGAGAAGACGGCCTCGACGGGCGACGCCTACAATACTCACCTTGTCCAGACATTTCAGCTCCTCCAGTGGGTACACCGCCTTCTCGCACCTGGCGCACTTTTTACTCATGGTTACGCTTATCCTCTGATCTCGTTACGTGCTTACAAAATATATTTCACTGATACCAAAAGATTAAGCCGACAATATTCGAGATTTTCCACAGCAGTGCACTTTGCACATCCACTCACACAAGTTGTCGGGAGGCAACTGACTGGTTACTTGAGCCCTCACTAGATGTCTCTTAGTAGTGTAGCGTACAACAAAAGTGAAGCGGAAAGCACTGTACTTCATTACTTTCTTCACTTTGTCCTTAGTAATGTTTCCTTTTTTCCATGAAAACCGCTTTGGAAATACATCGGCCAGCCTATTCGTTCACATCCTTCACTCTTGGTATTCCCCGTCGCCCACAGCCGGGGAGGATAATTACCTCATGTCCTCTATTATAGTTTGGCGCGGCAATTTTTTGATGATTAATACGAGTATTTGAAATTATCTCATACCACCTCTAATTATATGAGCCCAAAGTTTTATATTCAGTCACATAATCGAAATGACCTGGGATCCACCCTCAACGTAACGAGAAATATAGGCATGTCTCGTAGCACCTGTTGCTCCCATGTACTTAGCCGTAAATAGATATCTAAAAGATAGTCGACTGTTGTGGGTTGCATCGTGGGGAAGGTTAACGACCCCAACGGATATAATCTATACTAATTGGCTTTCTTGGATTATATTGGATTATTAACCCTTCGTGGGTTGGTAGGTAACGTCCTCAACCCGCACACTGAGGGTACGGGATGGATCCTCGGCATGGTTGAAACGTGGGCATTTTTCTTACACCTGCTGTTTACCTGGAGAGAGTTCCGGGGGTCAACGCCCCCGCGGCCCGGTCTGTGACCAGGCCTCCTGGTGGATTAGAGCCTGATCAACCAGGCTGTTACTGCTGGCTGCACGCAAACCAACGTACGAGCCACAGCCCGGCTGATCAGGAACCGACTTTAGGTGCTTGTCCAGTGCCAGCTTGAAGACTGCCAGGGGTCTGTTGGCAATCCCCCTTATGTATCTGGGAGGCAAGTTGACGTCTCGGGCCCCTGACACTTATTGTAGGTCTCTTAACCGTGCTAGTTGACACCCTGCTTTTCATATTCTTTTAGGGGGATGTTGCATGTATGCCAAGTTTTTTGCTTTCGTAGTGAGTGATTTTGTGTTGCAAGTTCGGTACTAGTTCCTCTAGGATTTCCAGGTGTATTAAATCATGTATCTCTCCGCCTGCGTCTCAGGGAATACAGGTTCAGGAACCTCAAGCGCTCCCGTTAATTGAGGTGTTTTATCTCCGTTATGCGCGCGTGAAGGTTCTCTGTAACATTTTCATAGGTCAGCAATTTTCACCTGCCTTGAAGGTGCTGTAGTGTGCAGCAATATTCCAGCCTAGAGAGAAACATGTGACCGAAGAGTGTCTTCGGGCTTGGCATCCTAGGTTTTGAATATTATTCATTATATCCATCCCGTCATTTTTCTAGCAGATGCGATTGATACAATTTATGGTCCTTGTAAGGTGAGATCCTCCGACATGAGCACTCCAGGTATTTGGCGTTGGTGTTTCGCTCTATTTTTGTGGCCAGAATTTGTTTTGTACTTGATGAGATTTAATTTCCTCGTGAGTACCATATCGGAGTAATTGAAAGTTTCTCATCGTTGAACTTCATATTGTTTTCTGCGCCCCCCAAAGATTTGGTTGATGTCCGCCTGGAGCTTGCAGTGTCTGCCAATGGAAGACACTTCATGCACGATTCGGGTGTCTCTGCAAAGGACGGACACGGTGCTGTGGCTGACATCCATGTCTATGTCAGATATGAGGATGAGGAACAAGATGGGAGCGAGTCTGTGCCTTGTGGAACAGAGCTTTTCACCGTGGCTGCCTTGACTTTACTTGTTTACTACTACTCTCTGTGTTCTGTTAGTGAGGAAATTATAGATCTATCGACCAAACTTTTCTGTTATTCCTTTAGTACGCATTTTGTGCCGTATTATGCCATGGTCACACTTGTGAAGGCTTTTTGCAGTCTGTATATATTACATCTGCATTCTTTTTGTCTTCTAGTGCATCTAGGACCTTGTCGTAGTGATCCAATAGTTGAGACAGACAGGAGCGACCTGTTCTAAACCCATGTTGCCCTGGGTTGTGTAACTGATGGGTTTCTAGATGGGTGGTGATCTTGCTTCTTAGGACCCTTTCAAAGATTTTTATGATTTGGGATGTTAGTGCTATCGGTCTGTAGTTCTTTGCTGTTGCTTTACTGCCCCCTTTGTGGAGTGGGGCTGTCTGTTGGTTTTAGTAACTATGGGGAGTAGTCACTACACAAGTAGTGGTTATTAAAGTCTCACAATAAGTTGGCCAACAGGAGATGACAACTGTGTTGTAATAACATTTATGATATTTGAAGTTTCTTAATAAATTAGCTACACAAGTGAATCTTTACATATGAAATTACATCTTACTTTCCATCATGGTGGGACGACCCCCCGTGTCCATGCTCCCTCTCCATAGGATGGAAAAGGCTCGTGATAGGGGCTTCTTGCAGTTCTTGATGAACACGGAGTTCCATGAGTCTGGCCCTGGGGCAGAGTGCATGGGCATGTCATTTATCGCCTGTTCGAGGTCATTGGCGTCAGGATAACATTCAGATATGCTTGTGTTAACCAAAATTCTGTGGCTCTCTCATAAAAAAAATCATTTTTGATCTTCGGACTCTCAGTCTGGTTAGTGGCTTGCTAAAATTGAGTATAATTGCGGACTTGTGTAACTCATCATTTCCTGCTGTCATCTGTGTAGGGCCCATCTTGTTTAAAGTAAGGGCCAATAACTGGCGTTGTTCTCGACTTTGTTTGGCATAGGGAAGAAATTACTTTGGGTTTCTTTCGATTTCAATTTATGGCCTTTTAGTTCTTCCCGCGATTCCGATCACTATAAGATTCCTGTAGCTTTAAGTTCGATGTTTGCTATTCTCTGACCAGTGTCCTCTACGCATTTCAGATATATTGACCTCTTTTAGCCGCTCTGTTATTCTTTTCCGGTCGCCTGTAAAAGGGAGCGCCTGTCTCTTTCTATTTTACAATCTACTCCTCCTTTTTCTTAGAGGAATAAGCCTTGTGCATACATCGATGTGCACCAAGTTAATCTGTTCTAGGGCAATAAGTTGGGGTCTGTGTTGATAGTATATCTTCCCAGCTTATATCGGTTAGGACTTGGTTTAACTTGGTCCCACTTTTGTTTTTGTTGTTGAAGTTGAAATTTGGTGATGCTCCCTCGTGACTAATCTCATTATGTCGGTCTGGGGCTCCGCGCATGCATGTCTGAACCTCAATTATGTTGTGATCTGAGTATATTGTTTTTGATATGGTGACATTTCTTATCAGATCATCATTGTTAGTGAAGATGAGGTCTAGTGTATTCTCCAGTCTAGTAGGCTCTATTATTTGCTGGTTTAAATTGAATTTTGTGCAGAGATTTAAAAGCTCGTGTGAGTGTGAGTTTTCATCCGAGCTGCCTCCTGGTGTTATTACTGCAACAATATTATTTGCTACTGTCCTTGTCACCCTAGCAGTAAGCAGATACCTGGGTATTAATCACCTTACGCCCTCTGTCCCTGTTAACCTAGCAATAAGTTGGTACCCGGGTGTTAATCGACTGTTGTGGGTCACATCCTGGAGGACAAGATTAGTCTAAGGTTGCTTCAAGTACTTTGCATAACCAGGGACTTTCTATATATTATGTAAGCTAGGTCTGTATTATCTGTATCATGTATTGGTAGAAATAAAGATTATTATTATTATTACTGTATTATTATTATTATTATTATTGACTTTTAGCAAGATAGTAGTTTCTAACACATTTAAAAGAAGACTTTATTCAGATTATTAACTCTGGAGGCGTTAATAATCTGAATAACCCAATAACTCAATAAAGCCAATCATTGTTGTTTTATTTCCATTGGGTCCTACATATTAAGACTTTTCCCAGAATGCGACTCAGCAGACGACTAATACCCAGGTATCTATTTACTGTTAGGTAACAGGCCCTGGGGAAGTAGGTATTGGGAGATTTGCTCATACTATATCAGTTTTACCCTGGGTGTAACTCACAAAGTCGTCTAAACACACAGGTACATATTTTTACTGCTAGGAGCAGCAGGCTAGGTGGGCAGTAGTGTAAGGTAAGTTTGGCCATAATGTTTCACCAGCTCGGGGTTAGAACCCGGGATTTGTGAACCGAACTCTCGCCTCTTTGTGATACAGTTTAAGCAAATCATTTATTACTTGGTTAAATATTAATAACGTCAGAGGACATAATAGATATTTGTGTTGCAAGGTGATGATGCAACAGTCTTAACTACGCTGCTGATAACTGCCTGATTATAGGTTATCTCTGTGATGTGATCTAGTGACTCCCCCAACAACCTCACTCAACCCTTTCAAGGGAGATGCTTTAATGTAGGTATGGGTTTAACACCTTGCCACGATTGTAATGATGATAATCCACCCTTAAAGGGGAGCACTGGAGCCTGTTTGTAAGAAAAAGAAAAAGCCGTCGCGTGTATCCATGTGGGAGTTCGATAAAAACATGGATAGGTTAAAGTAATACTCACGTAGGCTGGTAGTACGTATAATTACAGATAATGTGGGGAGCGCCCAACAGCCTGCCTATCTCCTTGCTCACTCTCGTATGACTGACTGGCCGCCCACAGTACCCATTATGTGAGGGGGTCTTTGAATACTGCTGTGGTCAGCCACAATATGATACAGACGTTGACTCAGGCAGAGACGGTTGGTAGTGAGTCATCTACTGGTACACTGGTTACTGGTAACTGGTTACTACTACTGAGAGCTCGCCGACGCTAACGTATGTCGTCCCGACATACAACCTAATACAAACTAGGCATGGCAGGTATTAGGCTTGGCTGATTCTTATAACAATGTCAAATTACACAACCTAAACATGTAACATACATAAGTAGAACATTATAAGAAGAGATTATAAGAAGCCATCTCGATAAGCATAGCTTGATTAAGGATACTCAGCATGGATTCACAAGAGGCCGGTCTTGTCTAACTAATTTATTAACTTTCTTCAGTAAAGCTTTTGAGGCTGTTGACCACAATAAAAGAATGTGATATTATTTACTTAGATTTTAGGCTAAGGCTTTTGATAGGAGTTTCCACACC